TACAAGAAATGGCTAGATAGGTAGCCATAAATCCCTAGGACCACGAAGCTTATGGTTAAAGGACCATATTTGAAGGAACCACCATGAGTGCTTGCATTCATGAACCTTCGAGCTAAACGACATTAAACAAAGTGCTTCGTGGTAGGCAACCCACGTTTTTTTTTATGTTGTTTCTTTTTGTAGGTTTTTTTTGTTTGTTTTGCATTCCTCTTTTGCTGAGCTTCCCACATCCTCAGTGAGGTGTTTTATGAGTTTATCCTTATCTCCCTCTAGTTTTATACGGGAAAAAGAAACATTTTGATACCATTCATGAATATGTTATTCTTTGTGTTAGTGGTCCAACATTAGAGGAAAACTAGATGCGCTTCCCTGAAGTAAGTCATCTTATAGCAAGTGCGTATGACAGGGTGTGTATTGGTCTGACAAGATACAATTTCTCAGAAATATTTTTTCTACTGTGCATTGCCTCACCTTAAAATCTAACTAATCTTATTATGTGTATTGGATTAATTTCAAAACCGTGACACTTTGTTCAAGGTAATTTAAAACCAGGATTCTCTATACCACTAACACCACTAGAAATCTCATTCAACAAGAGAAGATGAGACTTGTATAAATATAGGTATAGGCATCTCATGCATATTGACCAAAATCTTGTATAAATATAGGTATCTCATTTTATATTTTTTAACAAAATCACATCACGCTAAAATGAACATATATTGACATGTCACATTTGACTACTTCAACAACGCAAACACTTCAATTGAATTTAAGGTCACTGAGTACATCTTTCTTATTAATAAGCAAAAACATTTTAAGAATAATTTTGATTTTTCACATAGAATAAGAAAACAATGCTTGGGTGTATAACACAATGAGATAATATTTGCCTGTAGGCAACTATAGGCCCGTTTGTTTTGATTTTTTTTTCAAAAAAATTAATTTTTATAGTCTAACATAATTTTGTATAGAATAAATTTACAAATAAATTTTCATAAAAGTTTCAAATAAAAATTTGGTTTGAATAATTATTTTTTAAATGTTATTTTAAATATTTTATCATTTTATTGAAATTTGTTTTAGATATCAAAATTTTAAAAAATTTGTTAATTTTAAAGCTATTTTAAATAAATTTTTATAAAATTTATTTTTGAGATATAATTTTTGAAAAAATTACAAATTGAATAATATATATTTATGTAATAGAATGATAAAATTAATCTTTCAACTATATTATCAAAAAGAGTTAAATATGTTTTTCTCCCTATAAATATCTCACATTTTATTTTTAGTTTCTATAAAAAAAAAGATATATTTTGGTCCCTACAAAAATGTTATACATGCAATTTTAGTCCTTGCTATTTTCTAAAATTTTGAAAACTATTTAATTACCCCTAAACTTTTAAATTTTTGAATAATTTTTTTCATACGTCTTCAAATTTCTATAAATTGTTTCTTTATTAAATTATATAATTTTTTAAAATAAGAAGAATTAAATATGAATTTTTAAAAATTTAAAAGATAATGATAAAAGTAATGAAAATCTCGACTTATAAATCAAATTTCTGAGTTCCTTTCTTTTCGAGGAACTTTCTATAACGTTCAAAATGTTTCTGCAAAATAATCATTCAAAGATACACATTAGTTTAATAATAAAGACTAAAACTACGAGCATAATTATTTTGTAGAGACCAAAACACACTATTTTTTTATAGGGATCAAAAACAAAATTGAGTAATTTTATAGGATGCAAAAACATATTTAACCCTATAAAAAACAACCATTTGTGTCAATCCAAAAACCCAAAAGCCAAACACCATTTAAACTTTTCATGTCGATTTAAACTTGGCAAATTTCTTGACTCATGTGATCCTAATCACCAACAAGTTTCCGAAATCATCAAGGGTTTTCGAGGCAATGTAAGTTTAAGTCATGCTGGTTTTATTCTCAATAACATGTCGAAACCCAATAATGCAATGCTTGTCTTTAATTACTTTAGGGAAAATTTTGAATTAGTTAAGCATGTTGTTCTTTACAATGTGATGATGGAACTGTTTAGGGAGAATAAGGATTTTGAAAATGCTGAGAAATTGTTTGATGAAATGCTTCACAGAGTGGTGAAGCCTAATATTATTACTTTTTCACCAACAATGTTCTAATTTACTCGTTAATGAGAGGAGGATCATACATTTGTCCACCAACAACTTATCAAAGATTTGAAGGCGCATAAAGAATTATACACACAACTTTATAGAAAAAAGAAACATTTTGATACAATTCATGAATATGTTATTCCTTGTGTTAATGGTCCAACATCAGAGGAAAACTATATGCACTTCCCTGAAATAAGTCATCTTATAGCAAGTGCGTATGATATGGTATGTATTGATCTGACAAGATACGATTTCTCGGAAATATTTTTTCTACTGTGCACTGCCTCACCTTAAAGTCTAACTAATCGTATTATGTGTATTAGATTAATTTCAAAACCGTGACACTTTGTTCAAGTTAATTTGAAACCGGGATTCCCTATACCAATAACATCACCGGAAGTCCCATTCAACAAGAGAAGATGAGACTTGGTCGAATTATTTTTTTGGATAAGATGCAAGAGTTCACGAAGTTGAGCGACATTGAAAGAAAAATAAATAAACAAAGGCAAAGGCACAACCACCCATACATATAAATTTAGACAATGACCCATGCTTCGATTCATTTTAATTTTTATTCAAAGAAGTATTTATGTGGTTAGACATGATTTGTAAGTAATCTTAGATTAATATTAATGATGTCAAATATATACATTTTCATAGATTTTCATAAATGTTTCCTTTTCTAAAACACTTTTCAATTTTTGTTTTCTATAACAAGTCCGGTTTATGAATAGGTTTTGTGTGAACAATGTAGGGTGACTCCAAAAATGAACTTCCAGACACACCCCACACATTTTTAAAAAATACGGATAAGAGTTTATTCGAAAATGCATTTCTAGATACACCCTAATTTTCTCAATTTCACACAAGGAAATAGGGTGCGTCCAGAAGCATATCTTTAGAATATACCATCATACATGATTGAATTTCTAAGGTGCATATTGACCAAAATCTTGTATAAATATAGGTATCTCATTTTATCTTTTTTAACAAAATCACATCACGACAAAATGAACATATATTGACATGTCGCATTTGACTACTTCAACAACGCGAACACTTCACTTGAATTTAAGGTCACTGAGTACACCTATCTTATAGATCTGAAATCTATACTAGAGAATCTCTTAAAATACTCAGACAATCGAAACATTGTGAAACTCGAGTACCGTTCACCCTCGATTGACAACAGAGGAAAGATTCATTTCAGCAAGTTTGAGCTGAAGAGAGATGAAGATTTAAGAGTTGTGTGGAGTGTATTTCATCGTTACGAAACAAAATGTTCGATTAAGCTGGATGTAAATATTGCAAGATTGACCAAAAATATTCTTAAGATGTTAAAACTTTCTACTTGATGATGAAATGTATTGTTTGATTTATGTTAACGATTATTTATACAATGTTTCATTTTTTGTGTATGTCAGAACAATTATTGATGTTAATTTATCTCTATTTCTGCCTCTATTTCATTTGTACATTTGTTTCTGATTTCATAAGATTCCATAAATGCATTTTCATAAGGTATAGAATGATGCATTTATAAACAAAAAATTGGAGATTAACAAATAAAAAAATAAATTGTGTGTATAAGATGCATTTTTGAATTTTAAGAGTAATTGATTTTTCACTAGAATAAGAAAATAATGCTCGGGTGTGTAACGCAATGAGATAATATTTTCCTGTATGCAACTATAGACCCGTTTGTTTTGACTTTTTTTAAAAAATGATTTTTATAGTGTAACATAATTTTGTATAAAATAATTTTACAAAATTTTTTTTATAAAAATTTCAAATGAAAATTTGGTTTGAATAATTATTTTTTAAATGTTATTTTAAATATTTTATTATTTTATTGAAATTTATTTTAGATATCAAAACTTTAAAAAATTAGTTAAATTTAAAACTATTTTAAATAAATTTTTATATAAGTTATTTTTGAGATATAATTTTTGAAAAAAATTACAATTTCAATAATATATATTTATGTAATAGAATGTTAAAATTAATCTTCAACTATATTATCAAAAATGGTTAAATATATATTTTTTTCTTTATAAATATCTCACATTTTATTTTTAATCTTTATAAAAAAAAGACATACTTTGATCCTACAAAAATTTTATGTATGCAATTTTAGTCTTTGCTTTTTTCTAAAATTTTGAAAACTATTTAATTACCTCTAAACTTTTAAATTTTTGAATAATTTTTTTTATACGTGTTCAGTTTATTATAAAATATATTTTTTTACTAAATTATATAATTTTTTAAAATGAGAAGAATTAAATATGATTTTTTTTTAAAATTTCAATAAGTTATTTCTATAATTTTTTATACGTGCAAGCCATGTTTTATGTAGGAAATTTTGATATAAGTTGATTCGAGAAATATTATTTGTTTTATTGTGGATGTTTTATTCTGAAAAGCATAGGAAAAAAAAAAGAAATAAAAGAAAAATAAGTCAGTACTGTTAAGGTTGACTTGTATGTTGAGCATAATGGTTGACCTTATATAGTCATTTTTATTATGTGGGGTTGACTTAAGTTTATAGCTTTATTTATTTTTATAGTGATTGGTAAATTGAAGCAAGAAAGTGTTTCTGACTTTTGTTAAGAACAATATTTTACAAGTGATTAGAACCTTTAAGTCACTACTATGATCTCATTTGACTTTTTTGAGGGTTTTCTGTATATATTTATTAAAGAAGTCCAAATTAGAACAAAGTTGTGTGATCAGTTGATGGCTTGCACGTTTAAATAACAAAACATATCCTCCAACTCCAACATGGGGTTGACCTAACCAAACCTCTATATAATTTGAGAGTCTTTGTTCTTTTGATCATGTAAAATGGGAAACTGTGTGGCCTGTTACTCTCAATCAATGAAGCAAACAAGATGTCCTCTTATTGAAGGACGGGAGCTAGAGGTTAATAATTCCTCGGCACCAGTTGAAAAGATGAACACCGGTCGTAGTAACCATTACACCGCGGTATGTAAAAAAGTGCAGCACGGAGAGGTTTGCCATCTTGCACCATTTCTGAGACAATCCGGTAAGCCTTTGGTAACTTGTATGATAACCGATGATAGAAAGGTAAAGACAAAGGTTGTGAAGATTGTGGTGACTACAGAACAGTTGAAATTGCTGTTAAGTGGATCAAAGAAGTTTCAAATCAAAACTAGAGTTACCCATGTTGGGAAAAGTTCTGTGTTGAGAAAGTGTCCAAAATGGCTTCCTTCTTTACCAACTATTCAAGAGGTGCAGAACTTTTGAATCATCAAGGTGGCTACAATATAAGCTTTCCTGACATTTTTTCTGTGCCAGGAATAATAATTTGAAATTTGAAAGAAATTAAATGTACTACTTGTGTCCGTGTCTGTCACTGTCACGTGTCGGACACCGAACATTCCCTAGGAGTAGTGAATGCTGGCTGTTGTTTTTATTTTTGAATGAACAACAAGCCTATGCTATTTGTCAATTTCCCCCCGCATAAGCTAATATACCGGTGGAATGCATCCTTGCTATTCTCTACTGTATGATATAGAATAATATGGAGTTTCTTATGCCAAGTTGTTTTTCGATATATGGTTATATGCTTCAAGTGCTTCTAATAATCCATATCTCATTATTTACAGGTAGATAGATATCCTTAACACTCAATTATAACCGTTATCATGCCATTTAGATTCAGAACTATTCCGACTTTAAAAGTAACAGTAGTTTTACAGAGGAAGACATCCAATACTTTTGTATGTACAGAGTTTGATCTCAGACTCACATTACTCAGGTGAAACTTTATTGGAACACACTTTTACATTAAATTATGTTTTGTATATGCAAAGAAAATTTGCAAGATGCGTTGATAAATAAATTGCCTCAGATTTTCGCCACCTGAAGAATGTTCAATGTTCTTTAATCATCCTGCAGTAAATATATAAGTGTTCAGGTTATCTATCAAAGAAAAATGTATCATTCATTCAAAAGAAAAGTCACAGAAAAGAACCTTTTTGAGAAGTTTGAGCTTCGATTTTTCCTTTTATCATCTGATTTTATTAATGCAAGTTCCTTCTCTCTAGCAGCTGCTTCTCTTTTCATTTTCTTCCATTCCACTTCCATAGCCTTTGTTAGCGCGTCAACTTTCTTCGTGAGCATCTGTAAAGGGAGATATACGCCAATGTTATCAAATAGCGGCTAAAACATAGAAGAAATTTGAACAAATAGCTATTTTCTGCGATCTACGATCTACAACATTGATATGAGGATAGAGGCATGGTTATTTCAAGTACCTTTATTTCTTCATCTTTAGTGTTCAAACTACTGTCTTTTGTTTCACAAGACTTCCTCAAATTGATGACCTCTTTTTGAAGCTTATCATATAAAAATCCCGAGACCACATCATTGCTTCCTAAGTCATTACAACTATTACTTTTCGAGTCTTCGTCAACATCAACACTGGTTTTAACACTACCTTTGTTCATCTGCATCTCATTTTCTTTTTCACCATTATCAGAAAATTTGTTTCTCGATGCCCATATACCATTTTTGAAGACATTCTCTGTAGAACCATATTTTGATTTTGCAACGGTAGCTGGTTTTCGGTTCCCGGAAACACTGTCCATGTTTCCTTTTATGTTTGACTTTTGGAACAAAGTGCTTCCAACAGTAGACCCTCTTGGTTGTGATGTAGACCTGTTTCTCAGTCCACCGTTGTTCGTAACGAAGCTTAAGATATTCGATTTGTCACCTGTCGGAGATCCTGAAAATGCATTGGAATTGATAGAGAATTTCTTTAAGCCTTCTTCCAGCGTTTTCAGCCTCAGCTTCAGTTTATCCTGAGAAAAAAAATACCGATAACATTAGTTACTGCTAAAACAAAAATGATTTCTCATACGCTTACATAGAAAAGAACAAACTACCTTCAATTGCGATTCTGCTTTTGCTGTTCTCTCTGATATAGCTAGTTTTTCTTTCAACCTTTGCATCTCTGCCTGCATAATCCGTCTCTCTTCGAGCCATTGTCTAACAGGCATGACCTTATCATGTTCATCCTTCCATTCATTAGCCGCAACAGTTGCAATTCTGTGAGCCGAAATCTTTGCCCTTGCTAGTTCCCTCTCCAATGTTCTCTTCTCGTCCTGAAAATTTATGCCAAAACCATGTCACTATAAAAATTTAGTCCAAAATACAAGTAGTCCTAACATATGCTTAGTTGCTTACTTGCAACTCTGAAATCTGTCGCTGATAATCGCGAATGACATTGGCGTTGGCTCCATTAGATAAGATGAGCTCCTCAAGTTCATGGATTGTTTGGCTAAGTTTTTCAACTTCCACAATCTTTTGCCGGTGGCTTTTCTCTAAGATTTTGTTCTCTTCCTGTGTTCATGAAAGTTTCATAAGTTGGCTGAAACTATTCGCGGTTCGATATATAAACAAAATGTGAAAAAATGGAAGCATAAAAAGATGTATATGCCTGGCAGATTTCAGTCTGTCTCTTCAAGTCAAAGTTTTCATTCTGAACTTCTTCAACTATCAAAGCTCTCTCTAACGCACTTCTTAAAATCCTCTCTGCTTCAAGCAACGCCAACTCCTTCGACTTTGTGATTCGTTCCAAAGCTTTCTTATCTTCATGTAGTTCCGCAATCTGTAGATAAAACCGATGTTAGTATTATCATATTTAAACGTATTTAACCCTTAATATTTCATCGTAAAAGAATCTATAGTGAAAAAAATTGCATGATCATCAATACCTTTGTCCTATACATCTTAATCTCAGCCTCAAGAGGAGTAATGATACTTTCAAATGGCAAAAAATCATCTTCCTTTTGATCAGTGTGTAATCTCCTAAGAGCCGCTTCTGCAGCATATTGCGCGGCCAACGCATCTTTCTTTTCATCTGTTAGTTTCTTGATTTCAAGATTCTGCACAAGAACATGCATTTTAGAAGTTAGCATTTTTAACAACTTTCTAACTTCCAAGATACACTAAACTAAACCAATTTTGTTTACCTTATGTTTAAGATGATTCTCACCGAGTCTTAATCTCTCATCAAGCTTACTAACTTCATTTCTCAGCTGAAATTAGAGAAACATAATTACATATATTCCTAATAACCCAGAAATTTATATATTTTGTAATCTGCAAACAGACTCATGTGATTTTCTCCAGCTTTAGAGATTAGTCTATGCAGTTGCGCGCAGAGGATATTAAGAAAATAAATACCTCTTCTATGGCCTTATCTTTCTGAACTTTTATTGCCCTTAAGGCCTTGATTTCATCTTGGGAAGTTGCTAGTTCATTAACCTTTTCTGCAATGGATTAAAATTTATTCATAATTAGTTTTTAGACTCATTTTGCTAGTAACACTCTATTATTTTATAGCTTATTTTTTGATAGTAACATTCTCTTTACCTGTTAGTTGGTTTTGCAAATGATCAATCTCAAAAACAACAGCTTCTGGTTGGACTTGTGGAAGTTCTTCAATGGCAACCATTTTCATCTTTCTAGGGAATGTTGAAATAGATACGGTTGAGTTCAATAACAAATGATGTATGATTATAGGTATATATAGTTTTTTTGTCTTTGGTCTTTTGTTTTGGTGATAGTGGTGAGGCTAAGTAGAGAAATATCAACGAGAAATGATGGTTTTCATAAGTTATGAGAAATTCCAATACTACCCTCAAGCTCTTTCTTTTACTGATACCACTTATTTTACCTTTCAATCCTTTTACTGAAATTCTTTTGATCTTGTTTTCCTTGCTTTTTACTGGCCACATCATGACTACCATTATTAGTTGTGACATTCTCTTATTATTCTTGTCCCCTTGTCCGCCATAATGTGGAGATTGCCAAGTCACTCTTCTATTTGGCCATTACTCCATCCTATTTTGACTCCACATTAACTCCTGCATTAAATGCCTTGGTGATATTGTTTCCCATAATAACACGTGCATTATTATTCCCTTTGATGATTACCCTTTTTCGCCTCCTTATTAAATGCTCATCCCACTTTTTCGGATCTGTGCCACCTGTTACATTCTTAATGGCTTTATTGCTGAATAATGATGCAAATCTCGATCCAGACATAAAGATCTCATCATTAATTTTCGCCGGAGTTATGTTCTTCCACCCTTCCACCTGTTTCTTTCCTTTCCTCTGCTTCTGCACAACTTTCCATGGACTATTCTCCATTGCTGCCCTTTTATCATCCTCGTGAATAAAAGCGACTAGGTAGTAGTGATTACTCAAATCAATGATTCTGGTCACCCGATTCTTCACCTACATCTGCTTTAGCCTCGTCTCAAGCGCCTTATAACCAATCTTCCACCCCAGGAGCTTGACAATCACTCCTCTTCTTCAAGGTGGATGAATCCGTTTCTCTTCTACTTCTGACAGGACAAAGGTTGGACATTCATAGTCTCCTACTTTGTCTTCCACGATCTTTAGGCCTTCACCCTCCTCCTGGTGGTCACCTTCCAGTATTTCCTCTTCAGTTTCCATACTTGCTTCAGTATCATTAGATTGATCCGTCACTATATTCCGATACGATTAGTTGGCCTAGAAGAGACGTTACGTTTCCATCATTCCTTCGAGCATATTTTCGAGGTAATGTTAAGTCATGCTGGTTTTATTCTAAATAACATGTCAGAGATCCAATAACCCACTGCTTGTTTTTAATTACTTTAGGGAAAATTTCGAATCCGTTAAGCATGTTGTTCTTTACAATGTGATGATGAAACTGTTTAGGGAGAATAAGGATTTTGAAAATGCAGAGAAACTGTTTGACGAAATGCTTCAAAGAGTGGTGGAGCCTAATGTTATTACTTTTTCAACCATGATTAGCTGTGCTGCATTGTGTTCTATGCATAGGCTGTGGAGTGGTTTGAGATGATGCCTTTGTTCAAATGTGAGCAAGATAATAAGTTTTTGTTGGGTATGATTACTTTTTATGCACGTATTGGTAATGTTGATGTAGCTTTGAGATTTTATGATCGTGCAATGAAGGAGAAATTGAATATTGATAAAGTAGTGTTCTCGGCCTGATTAAGATGTATGGGAAGTCGGGAAATTGTGATGGATGCTTGAGTGTTTATAATGATATGAAAGTTCTTGGTGTTAAGCCTAACATGGGAACATACAACAATATGTTGCATGCCATGGGAAGAGCCAAGATGGAATGGAAAGCGAAGGCTGAATATGAGGAAATGATAAACTATGGAGCTGTCTTACATGCCTATTGTAGAGGGAGGTATAAAGAAGATGCCTTGAGTGTATATAAGGAAATGAAAGAAAAGAGAAAGGATGTGGATAAAGTTCTATATAACATGCTTCTTGATATGTGTGCTGATGTTGGTTATGTAGATGAAGCTGTTGAAATATTTAAAGATATGAAATGTTCGCGAACTTGCCATCCGTGCAGTGTTACATACTCATCCTTGATTAACATGTACTCCTGCGCTGGAAAAGTTTCTAAGGCAGAAGCTATGTTGAATGAAATGATAGGTTGTGGATTTGAGCCTAATATTTTAGTTCTGACGTCTCTCGCCGGTTGCTATGGAAAAGCAAAACGAACTGACGATGTTGTGAGGATATTTAATCAACTTTTGGATTTAGGCATTAGTCCTGATAATCGCTTGTGTGATTGTCTTTTGCATGTCATGACACAGATACCAAAACAAGAACATGGTAAATTAACAGATTGTGTTGAGAAGGCTAATCCAAAGCCTGTTTTTGTGGTTAGATATTTGGTGGAAGAGAAGGCGGGTGGTGTAGATTTTAGGAAGGAAGCATCAGAACTTTTTAATTCAATGGGTGACTATTTTATAAAGAAGTCTTTGTGCAACAGTTTAATTGATCTTTGTGTCAACCTAGAAGTTCCGAATAGAGCTGGGGAGCTTCTTAACTTGGGACATACTCTTGAGATATATACATACAGATAACATCTAAACTAGGTAGGCTTTGCATGTAAAGAGTCTCTCAACTGGAACCGCTGTAACAGCCTTACATGTTTGGATTAATGACTTGGCTTTGGAATCAAGGGAGGAGTTTCCATTAGTACTTGGCACATACTGCGACTCGGAAAAACAACTCTTCAGCCAGTGTTGTTGAATCATATCTGAAGGAACATAATGCTCCGTTCGAAAAGGATACTGATACTGACTGGTTTTTAACAACAAATGAAGAAGCCAAATCATGGCTGCAGTCTAGGGGTTCGTCTGAAACATATGATGCTTTGAACTTCAGGGCCTTAGGTGTTCCTGTTATGGCTCTTTCTCATTGATGGGGTTGTTTTAGGAAGCCATGTTTTATGTAGGAAATTTTGATATAAGTTGATTCGAGAAATATTATTTGTTTTATTGTGGATGTTTTATTCTGAAAAGCTTAAAGAAAAAAAAGAAAAAAAAGAAAAATATGTCAGTACTGTTAAAGGTTGACATGTATGTTGAGCATAATGGTTGACCTTATATAGTCATTTTTATTATGTGGGGTTGACTTAAGTTTATAGCTTTATTTATTTTTTATAGTGATTGGTAAATTGAAGCAAGAAAGTGTTTCTGACTTCTGTTAAGGACAATATTTTATAAGTGATTAGAACCTTTAAGTCACTACTATGACCTCATTTGACTTTTTTGAGGGTTTTCTATTTATTTATTAAAGAAGTCAAAATGTGTGATCAGCTGATGGCTTGCACGTTAAAATAACAAAACATATCCTCCAACATGGGGTTGACCTAACCAAACCTCTCTATATATTGTAAGAGTCTTTGTTCTTTTGATCATGCAAAATGGGAAACTGTGTGGCCTGTTACTCTCAATCAAAGAAGCAAACAAGATGTTCTCTTATTGAAGGACGGGAGCTAGAAGTTAATAATTCCTCGGCACCAGTTGAAAAGATGAACACCGGTCGTAGTAACCATTACAATATGGTATGTAAAAAAGTGCAGCACGGAGAGGTTTACCATCTTGCACCATTTTTGAGACAATCCGGTAAGCCTTTGGTAACTTGTATGATAACTGATGATAGAAAGGTGAAGACAAGGGTTGTGAAGATTGTGTTACTACAGAACAGTTGAAATTGCTGTTAAGTGGATCAAAGAAGTTTCAAATCAAAACTAGAGTTACCCCTGTTAGGAAAAGTTCTGTGTTGAGAAAGTGTCCAAAATGGCTTCCTTCTTTACCAACTATTCAAGAAGTGCAGAACTTTTGAATCATCAAGGTGGCTACAATATAAGCTTTCCTGACATTTTTTCTGTGCTAGTAATAGTAATTTGAAAATTGAAAGAAATTAAATGTACTACATGTGTCCATGTCTAGCACTGTCACGTGTCGGACACCGAACATTCTCTAGGAGTAGTGAATGTTGGCTGTTGTTTCTATTTTTGAACGAACAACAAGCCTATGCAATTTGTCAATTTTTACCCGCATAAGCTAATATATTCGTGGAATGTATCCTTGCTAGTCTCGTAAGATATACTCCCTCCGTTTTATATTATAAGCAAATTTTACTTTTTAGATACATTGAATAATTAATGTATCTGGTTTATATATAGATCAGATACATTAATTATTCAATGTATTTAAAAAGTAAAATTTGCTTATAATATGGAACGGAGGGAATAGTATAATATGGAGTTGCTTATGCCAAGTTGTTTCTCGATGTATAATTATATGCTTCAAGTGCTTCAAATAATTCATAATTCATCACAGGTAGATAGATATCCTCAACACTCAATTATAACCGTTATCATGCCATTTAGATTCAAAACTATTGTGACTTAAAAAGTAACAGTAGTTTTACAGAGGAAGACATCCAATACGTTTGTATGTACAACACTTGATCAGACTCATTACTCAGGTGAAACTTTATTCGAACACACTTTTACATTAAATTATGTTTGGTATATACAAAGAAAATTTACATGATGCGTTGATAAATAAACTGCCTCCATTTTCTCCACATAAAGAATGTTCAATGTTCTTTCATCATCCTGCAGTAATTTTATAACAGTGTTAAGGTTAACTATAGAAGTAAAATGTATCATTCATTCAAAAGAAAAGTCACAGAAAAGAACCTTTTTGAGAAGTTGGAGCTTCTGTTTTTTCTTTTATCATCTGATTTTATTAATGCAAGCTCCTTCTCCCTAGCAGCTGCTTCTCTTTTCATTTTCTTCCATTCCACTTCCATAGCCTTTGTTAGTGCGTCAACTTTCTTCGTGAGCATCTGAAAAGACAGATATGAGCCAATGTTGTCAAATAGTGGCTATAACGTAGAACAAATCGCTATTTTCTGCGATCTACGATCTACAACATTGATATGAGGATAGAGGCATGGTTGTTTCAAGTACCTTTATTTCTTCATCTTTAGTGTTCAAACTACTGTCTTTTGTTTCACAAGACTTCCTCAAATTGATGACCTCTTTTTGAAGCTTATCATATAAAAATCCAGAGACCACATCATTGCTTCCTAAGTCATTACAACTGTTACTTTTCAAGTCTTCGTCAACATCAACGCTGGTTTTAACACTACCTTTGTTCATCTGCATCTCATTTTCTTTTTCACCACTATCAGAAAATTTGTTTCTCGATGCCCATATACCGTTTTTGAAGACATTTTCTGTAGAACCATATTTCGATTTTGCAACGCTAGCTGGTTTTCGGTTCCCGGAAACACTGTCCATGTTTCCTTTTATGTTTGACTTTTGGAACAAAGTGCTTCCAACAGTAGACCCTCTTGGTTGTGATGTAGACCTGTTTCTCAGTCCACCGTTGTTCGTTACGAAGCTTAAGATATTCGATTTGTCACCTGTCGGAGATCCTGAAAATGCATTGGAATTGATAGAGAATTTCTTTAAGCCTTCTTCCAGCGTTTTCAGCCTCAGCTTCAGTTTATCCTGAGAAAAAAATACTGATAACATTAGTTACTGCTACTAGAAATGATTTCTTACACGCTTACATGGAAAAAGAACAAACTACCTTCAATTGCGATTCTGCTTTGGCTGTTCTCTCTGATATAGCTAGCTTTTCTTTCAACCTTTGCATCTCTGCCTGCATAATCCGTCTCTCTTCGAGCCATTGTCTAACAGGCATGACCTTATCTTGTTCATCCCTCCATTCATTAGCTGCAGCAGTTGCAATTCTGTTAGCCGAAACTTTTACCCTTGCTAGTTCCCTCTCCAATGTTCTCTTCTCATCCTGAAAATTTATGCCAAAACCATGTTACTATAAAAATTTAGTTGAAAACGCAAGTAGTCCTAACATATGCTTAGTTGCTTACTTGCAACTCAGAAATCTGTCGCTCATAATCGCGAATGACATTTGCGTTGGCTCCATTAGATAAGATGAGCTCCTCGAGTTCATGGATTGTTTGGCTTAGTTTTTCAACTTCCACTATCTTTTGCCGGTGGCTTTTCTCTAAGATTTTGTTCTCTTCCTGTGTTCATGAAAGTCGCGTAAGTTAGCCGAAACTATTTATGGTTCAACATTGAAACTAAATGTAGAAACAAAATACAGAAGCATAAAAAGACATATGCCTGGCAGATTTCAATCTGTCTCCTCAAGTCAAAGTTTTCATTCTGAACTTCTTCAACTATCAAAGCTCTCTCTAACGCACTTCTTAAAATCCTCTCTGCTTCAAGCAACGCCAACTCCTTCGACTTTGTGATTCGTTCCAAAGCTTTCTTATCTTCATGTAGTTCCGCAATCTGTAGATAAAACCGATATTAGTATTATCATATTAAACATATTTAACCCTTAATGTTTCATGTAAAAGAATCTATAGTGAAAAAAATTGCATGATCATCAATACCTTTGTCCTGTACATCTTAATCTCAGCCTCAAGAGGAGTAATGATACTTTCAAATGGAAAAAAATCATCTTCCTTTTGATCAGTGTGCAATCTTCTAAGAGCCGCTTCTGCAGCATATTGCGCGGCCAACGCATCTTTCTTCTCATCTGTTAATTTCTTGATTTCAAGATTCTGCATATGAAAATAATTTTGAAGAACATGCATTTTTAGAATTTAGCATATTTTTTGACAATTTTCCAACTTCCAAAATACACTAAACTAAACCAATTATGTTTACCTTATGTTTAAGATGATTCTCACTAAGTCTTAATCTCTCATCAAGCTTACTAACTTCATTTCTCAGCTGAAATTACAGAAATATAATTACAGATATTATTAAAAACCGAGAAATTTATATATTTTGTTATCTACAAAACTACAGTGATTCTCTCCAACTCAAGAGTTTAGTCTCTGCAGTTGCATGCAGAGGATATTAAAAAAATAAATACCTCTTCTATGGCCTTATCTTTCTGAGCTTCTATTGCCCTTAAGGCCTTGATTTCATCTTTGCAAGTTGCTAGTTCATTAACCTTTTCTGCAATGGATTAAAATTTATTCATAGTTATTTTTTAGACTTTTTTGCTAGTAACATTCTCTATTATTTTAAAGCTTATGTTTTGAACACCTTCATCTTTACCTGTTAGTTGGTTTTGCAAATGATCAATCTCATACACAACAGCTTCTGGTTGGACATGTGGAACCTCTTCAATGGCAACCATTTTCATCTTTCTAGGAAATGTTCAAACAGATATGGTTGAGTTCAATAACAAATGATATATGCTTATTGGTATATATAGTATGTGTTCTTTTTGTCTTTGGTGTTTTGTTTTGGTGATAGTGATGAGGCTAAGTAGAGAAATATCAAGGAGAAATGATGGTTTTCATAAGTTATGAGGAAATGTATATATAATATATGTTAATAATGAAAGAAAGGTTTATGGAAGAAAATAAGAATGTTCATTCATATAAGTAATTGACCATAAAGATAGGAAGGACATTCACTAGCAGTGAAGCAAACTTAATATGTATCAAATGCATAAGAAGACAGCTAAGCCAGCTACCACATGTTAATTGTTAATTTGTTCATTCTTAGAATTTGACATGTAATAACTCAACTTTATAAAGTAGGTATTTAATGTTAGGAATATCTCTAATTAAGAGCGTAACTCATGTGTTTAAATAGCAAAAACGTGATAGGAGTAACTCATGTGTTCTCATGTAGTTCAATACATCTTGAGCGACTCTTATACTTTCTTAAAATTTGGATTAATTTAACTCAACATTTCGAATCTGATTTATAACATGAAAAATTACTCTCACTTGCTTGTTTAATGTAAGACTTTTAACATTAATATTTGTTGGAGGCCGAAGTCGAAGTCAAGATAAACCTTATTATTTTACTCTTTAACTCTCAACTTAGTCACCAAGTCAACTTTATATTTAGGGGTGGTAAATCAGACCTCTCCCCATCCGACGGCATGCCTGGTTTACTCATATTTTTTTGTAGGGTAGATCAAAATTTTAGACCAACATCCTTTATATGTTTACTCTGCCTCGTTCCGTCCTTTTGCGGGCGAGGACATTAATATGAATTTTTGTAATTTTTAGACTTTAAAGATGCAGTGTCCATAAACCAACACCGATTCACACTCATTTTATTTTGTGAGATGAATCAAAATTTTAGACTCGCATCCTCAACTATGACAACTCTATTTTTTAAAGAATTTTTACGTAACATATTCAAATGGACTTGCTGCCCCTATTTATATCTTTTGTTAATTAGCCATTATAGCCATTAGCACCTCCTAAACTTTAGCTTTGACACTAACTTTTACTTTCTTTCTATTTCTTTTCCTTAATGTTAATTTTACTTCATATACTTTTACTCCTATCATAAGACTTAAGGCTTCTTTCGTAATTTTGAAACAAAATGATGCAACAACTAAACATTTTCTCACTTATGTCATCAGTTAACTCTATAATATCGATAAAGAGAGATGACTCGTATAATGAGAAGATAATATATAAATATTTTTATAAGTGTTCTTTATTTTGAAACATATATGGGCGCGGTTGAATCTAGGTCCATTCATTTAAATTTTTTGGATCAAACATTTTTAAATAAAAGTGTGTCTGTGTTTTTTGTATTTTGAAACAGGTACCAACACAAACACATGTAATTGTATTTAATTTATTTAAATTTTAAATCATCATTAATATCAATGTGTTTGTGTTTTTGTCTTCGTCAATGCTAATTATACATATACTTAAAAAAAAAATTAAACATAGACAATAATCTATAAAAAAAACTTGTATTCCATTCTATTTTTTTATTTTTTTTTTAAACTTAATATTCGAGTTTGAGATTGATTAATCCAAAATGATAAATTTCACCGTCTACTAACATAAGATTCATTTAAAACCAGAGTAAAACTCTCTATGAACTTGTCCAATACAAAAATTGTCATTATCTAATGGCATTCTAACTTAGACTTTAAGAGAAACACCCTCTCAAAATCAAAATCAAAACCCAAGTCTTATCCTTAGGGTCCCATTTTCAATCAATTAAGTTCAGTTAAGTTTTTTTTTGAAAAAGAAGTTCAGTTTCAACTTACAAGTTCATTACATGATAATAACAAAAGATATAGTGCATTAGTTGGTGAGAGAGTTTTTCCTTTCAATCTTTATTTTTCGGCTGACACATTTTGCTTCAATCTCAAATAAAATCTCTATTATTTGTATTCAAGAGTCTAAAATACAACTTAATTAAGAATTCATACTAATAAGACAAATCATATAAAGTAAGCATAAACAGAAAATCCAATCCAACTACAACTTTTAACTTATTGACTTGCTGTGAAACACAAAACTTATCAAACTTAACTCTTAACTTGTCACATTCTATCATTATCAATACAAGGATTATCACTTAGAACTATTGAATTGCTTAAGCGTTAAAAACGTTCTGAGATCATATTTTCTTTGTGAAAGTCATTTAGACTACTCATGTGTTTCTATAATTTGAAAGTGACCAACTAAAGTGGCTTAAAAGAATAAGTTAAAATTTTGATTAATATTTAGAATACTTGTTGTCATCATCTTTGCTTAAAAGTATAATTAATCAATATAGTAAAATAAATAAATTAAAAAATTGGGTGTTTTTTAATCTTGTTTTACTATTTATCTGGATGGTTGTAATAAATGGAAGGGTTTACCAACAACCAATTATTTAGCCACATGAAAACCCTGAAAATTAAAGAACATAAAAAATAGTCAAAAGTGTTATTGGTGAAATATATTTGAAATAGTTTGATAGTGATATGTGGAAGGAGGGAAAATGCTAAAATATAGAGGCTTCTGCTAAGTGTTAAGGAAGGTTGAGATGGATGCATATAAATATATTACAAAGTGATTAGTATATTAAACATACACTAAAGACATTTGGTTGCTATCTTGACAACATTTCTAACCCGAAAAGTTACTGTTCACAAATACGGTAAATAATACTGTAAACAGTGAATAATGTATCAACAATGTCAAATGAATAGTGACATGTGTGTGAGCAGTAGCAGTGAATAATGTATGAACAATGTATTAGAATATTAATGATAATTCATATTTATTTAGTTGTACTATTTTCTTAGCCCATAAGTTTGTTAGAGGGTATTTTAGTATTTATCCTATTCTAGTAACCCTAGTTTTAGCTTATAAATAGGGTGACAATCATTGTAACCTAATGTCATGTTTTGTAGCCGTCATTCTCTTATTAGTAATATTTCCTATTTCATCATTTATTCTATCTTTGCACCAACAATTGGTATCTAGAGCTCCGGTTCAGATTCATTGGGAAACACGGGAAACACGAGTGAACGTGAGGTCTTGTGTGTTTGATTTTGTTTCTCAGATTCTTGTTGAATCTTGAACAAAATCTGATCAGAATTTTTTAATTCTGTGGGTTGGGAAACACTGTGTGAGAAAACTCTGAGTGTATTGTGCAAAGTAGAAGATGAACGGAAACGGCAACATGAACACCAAACTTCCAGTATTTGATGGTAAAAACTGGAATCGTTGGATGATCCAGATGCGTGTACTGTTTGGTGCTCAAGATGTTCTGGATCTTGTCACTGATGGTTATGTTCCAGTAGCAGCAGATGCAACTGATGAACAGAAAAACGCGCAGAAGGAAGTAAGGAAGAAGGATCAGAAAGCATTGTTCTTCATTCATCAATGTGTGGATGTAAACGTGTTTGAGAAAATTGCAGACTCTACAACAGCAAAGGCTGCATGGGACACTCTGGTGAGATGTTATGGTGGTGACGCATCAGTGAAGAAGGTGAAGCTTCAGTCCTTGAGAAAGCAATATGAGAATCTCAACATGAAGAATAATGAGAAAGTTTCTGAATACATCTCCAGAGTGATTCTGATCACTAATGAGATGAAGGCATGTGGAGAAACTCTTTCTGAAGAAACAATCATGGAGAAAGTATTGAGATCCCTTACTCCTCAATTTGATTACATTGTGGTAGCAATAGAACATTCCAAAGATCTGAGCACAATGAGAATTGAAGAGCTGCAGAGCAGTCTAGAAGCGCAAGAGTTGCGTCTGACTGAGAGAAACTCTGAAAAGGAAGTAGAACAGCAGGCTCTGAAAGCAACTTCTGATAGGAGGTATCAGAAGCAGTCAGAAGCCAGGAGAAGATCTGATGGTGGTCAGAAGTCAGAAACCTCAACCTCTGATAGACAAAAGAATGCTCAGAAGGGAAAAGAGAAGTATGACAAAAGAAAAATACAATGTTACTGTTGTAAGAAGTTTGGCCATTTTGCTAGAGATTGTTGGTCAAACAAGGAGAAGAAATCAGAAGAAGCAAATATATCCAGAAGTTCTGATGACGAATCTGTGCTATTGATGGCCTCTGAATCTGATGATCTGACAGACTGGTGGTATATGGACACTGGCTGTTCAAATCATCTTACTGGAAACAAGAAATGGCTGGTTGACTTTGACTCTGAAAAGAGAACAAAGATCAGATGTGCTGATGACAAATATCTTAATGCAGAAGGTATGGGAAATGTCAGAGTGATTCTGAACAATGGGAAAACAGCATTGATTCAGAACGTGTGGTATGTACCTGGCATCAGAAGCAATCTGATGAGTGTGGGACAATTAATTGAGAAAGGTTTTTCAGTTACCATGAAGGACAATCTTCTGAAGTTGTATGACTGCAATCAGAAGTTGATTATGGAGTCAGAACAGGGAAGGAATAGAACATTCAAGGTGAATGTCAGAACTGCAGACTCAGAGTGTCTTAGTGCAACAAGTACTGAGAAGGAGAGTGAGCTGTGGCACAGAAGATTTGGTCATTTGAATTTCAGAAGCTTACAACATCTGAATTCAAAGAAATTGGTACATGGAATTCCTGCAATTAAGAAGCCTGAAAAGTCATGCAAAGTTTGCATGGAAGGAAAACAACCAAGATTGCCATTTGCATCAGAAGTTGCTCCAAGAGCAAAACATGCCTTGGGAGTTGTACACTCTGATGTGTGTGGTCCATTTCCAGTAGCATCAATTGGAGGGAATAAATACTTTGTGTTGTTTGTTGATGAATTCACAAGAATGACATGGGTATCCCTTATTAAGTTCAAACACGAGGTGTTTGATGAATTCAAGAAGTTCAGAATGAAGGCTGAGAATCAGAGTGGTCAGAAGTTGAAGATTCTTAGAACT